GAGACCTGCATCACAATTTAAATTCTCTCTGGCCAATCATGCTTTCTTCCCTTTCTTTTCACAGGAATTGATCTCAAATAACTCCTATTGGCATCTATTTCTGAATAACCAAAACTGCAACACATCATAAAACATATCCATACAAAATAAAATTCAGACTGTCATGCTTTCTGGTTACTTGTTCTTGCCTCTTGTGTGGACACAGCTGCACTTCCACTTCCTGGCTTTCATCTTAAGCTGGTTTAAGTGCAAACAAAGGGCTTTGACCAGAACATTAATTTTCTGTTTCAATACTGCCAATAATAGCCATGTAATCTTGGGCAAATCTTTCTATTTCTTTGGGTTTTTATTTTCTTATCTGTCCTTCAAGGGGTCAGGAAAGACCCTTCTAATCCTTACTCTATAGTCAACCAGACAGTTGACTACACACAGTGCCGCTGAGCCACCAAAATGGTTTTAACCATTCTTAATATATACTTGCTCACTGTATTTCAGTCTCTTTCCTAGAAAGCATTCCCAGATTTCTAACTGTTAAACTGAACCCAATTATGATTTTGGCAAAGGACCAGGCCCAAAATAGTTAGGAGAGCTGCACCATGATGCCCAGTGCAGGGACGGGAGACAGAGAGGATAGGGTGCAGTAAGATGTTTCAATCCTATACTGAAGGAGCTGGGCTGTATCTCTGCTCCACTGAAGTGGAAAAGGGAAGGAAAAGGGCTTGAGAAACTGAATAGGAATTCAGTGACAGCCCTATGTAAATTCCCTTTCTCTGTCCCTGCCCTGTCTCTGCTGTTATAGCCAATACTCTGGCTCTGTACCCCAATAACCCAAAGTTCCCTCCTTTAGGACTACTCAAGCCTCACTTTTCCTTTGAAACTGCCATTCAATGATACCACCATAATCGCTGATGTTCCCATTAAAACTTCAGTTCCATGGTGTTGCTTACTTAACTTAGGTAAGTAATTAGCTGTGATGCTGTCAAGGATCCTTACTGGTTTAATAATTGTCCTTTTCCAGTGCCTGTGGAAAAAAAAAATACAGATTATATAAGAAGACTAAATGGGGGAAATATGACAAAAGTTCCAAATGTGCAGCCTTTATGTTTCCGATCAGTAGTTTCAGAACTTTCTCTGTGATGTTAAATGGAAATCTAGATGATTTTATTCTCTTGAGGATCAATACTCCCTCTTATTGCTCCTAACTCCCAAATTTTGTCTTAAGCAAAGCCACACAGATTATGTCATCTAACCTCTTTTCCTAGTGTAAACTTGTAATCTAGCCTGAAAATCCAGGCAGACTCTCTTTGACTCCATGGGTAGCTGGTACCCCTAAGTATCTCCAAAAGAGACTAGCTATATGATTTCTCTGGACGCTTCTTCCTCACAACCCAATAGATTTTACTAAACTCTTTCAACTTCGATACTTCCTCCAGCACTACTTAATCGGTGGTGCTCCAACTAAGGTTTTAAAATTACCATTCTTCCTTACTCTGCTCAATCATTCAAAA